CTAAAGGTGTAATTATTCATTTATTTTTATACTTACTGAACAGAACAAAATAAGAGTCAACTTCAGTCATCAAAAGTCAAACTTGAATCTACTGTTTTGGCCTAATTAGGCAGCACGCTTCTGGTTGCTAACCGCCAACCAAACTGAAGAAGAATTAGGAGAAGAAGATTTAGAAGGAGAAGAAGAATTAGAAGAAATAGAAGAATTAGAAGAAATAGAAGAATTAGAAGGAGAAGAAGAAATAGAAGAATTAGAAGATGTTGGCGCAGGTGGATCTGAATGAAATGTTTACTGTAGTTGAACAATGGAGGCAATTTCCAAGTCACATGTCATTTTCCATGTGATTGAGGGCATTGCAGAGAACATAGAAAGATATTAGCCCTGAGGGAAGACATTTTTCTTAGTGATGTTCATTAGTTCACACATGATTAACTTTAGACTGCAGTCACGCCATCTTCGCTTCGGAGAGGCACGGTCGCGCTTATCTACACTTGAAAGTCGAGTGCCCGTCTACATCGCGTCATACGGTAAAGCGTGTGAAAAACTCAGAAATCTATATGAAGTGGCTTTTTCCTCTTATTTTCATTTGTTGAAATACATCTGTCATCACTTTGTTTTACTACATCATTTTTAATGATTAAAACTAAATGATTGAAGCACATTCAGAATCCCACTCATTTGTGCATAGTCAGATTTAAAAAGTTCATTAAGAAACAAATCACATTGTTTTCTGCAGACTCCACCAGATTCTTGTTGTACATGTCCCCAGCTACCTCTGTGGTGATTCTCAAGTTCTTTCACTGCATCATTTTTGGATTATCTGATGCTGAAATCATCGATGACATCCCCCTCATCTCTATCTATCACTCTCCTTCTTTCCTTTTGCAGAATGTGTATCATTTCAGCATTTTACTCGCGTGATGTCCTAATTTTACTCTTCGTGTGTGTGTGTGTGTGTGTCTGTGTGTGTGTGTGTGTGTGTGTGTGTGTGTGTGTGTGGAGGACATCCAGCCCTCCCTGCAGAAGCCCAAATCAACCGGTCATCTCCACCTTCTCTGCACCTCTTATCAGTCCATCATCTGCCTGCCAGACTCACCCCCAACTAGTTTGATTTTTCTGTTTTTTCTTATACCTGCATGTTATCATATTTTAACAATGGGGATGTGGACCCAAGATCAGGATAAAAAGATGGATGGCAGATCTGGTTTCTAGTGTCTTCATCAGATTTGAATGTAATTGCACAAAAGCACAGAAACACTACTGCCAAATGGGAAAGAGACTGAACCAAACTGAAATGATCACCAGAACACCAGACAGTGAGCAGGCTAAAAAGTAAGACAGCTAACTCAAAACTGTCAAGTTAAGACTTCTTTTATTTCCATCAAGCCTCTGCCTTGAGTGTGCTCTTCATTTTTCTTTAAATAAACGCAAGATGTACAACAGGTCCCAAGACACTCCTGTCATGACTTTCATGTGGAATTTAAACTGATGTAAAAACGCATTCAGTTTTATACATTAAAATGTTTTTATTGAATAACTTATCAAGTTATCCAGACACGACTTTCAGCATTATATCATATAGCAGAACTGAAGCAACAAACAGCACAACAGATGAACAGAAGCCCCATGAACACATCCAAACCACACACACGAAGAGTAAAATCAGAAGGACATCAAGCGAGTAAAAAGCAAAATGCTGAAATGATACCACATTCTGCAAAAGGAAAGAAGGAGAGTGATAGATAGAGATGAGGGGGATGTCATCGATGATTTCAGCATCAGATAATCCAAAAATGATGCAGTGAAAGAACTTGAGAATCACCACAGAGGTAGCTGGGGACATGTACAACAAGAATCTGGTGGAGTCTGCAGAAACCAATTCGAATGGTTTCTTAATGAACTCTTTAAATCTGACTATGCACAAATGAGTGGGATTCAGAATGTGCTTCAATCATTTAGTTATTTCATTTAGTTTTAATCATTAAACAGAAATGTAGTAAAACAACAAAGTGATGACAGATGTATTTCAACAAATGAAAAGAAGAAAAAGAAACTTCGATATAGATTTCTGAGTTTTTCACACGCTTTACCGTACGACGTGATGTAGACGGGCACTCGACTTTCAAGTGTAGATAGCGCGACAGTGCCTCTCCGAAGCGCAAAAACTTCCTACGCATTTAGCTTTAGCGTACAAGCTTGATTCCAGTGCATTTTTACTTGGAGGGTTAAATAATTGTGTGTAAGAGGCGCGTTGATATAAAGATATTAAAATATGTTTCTCATTGAGCCTCATGACGGTATTAAACAGTGGTGTTAGCATGGAAGTGGCTGTAAGCTAACGCTAGCTTGTACGGTTGCTAATGCGGTGAGCGTGACGTTGGAGGAAAATGGCCACCGCGCGCATGCAAACAAACATTTTAAACAGTTGTTCTTCAACTTTTCTTTAATTGTTCTTCAATTGTTCTCCAGCACATTTAAAAGCGAATTAATAAAATATTTCTCCCGACCTGTTCTTGGTTCGTTGTTGGTCCAGCAGCTCGTCGGTTGACGCCATTTGGTTGAGTCCAGAAAAGCCACTCGGGTCTTTCCTAATTTCCAGCGAGAGGTGGAGCAGCAGAAACAAGACGACACGTTCTTGTCTTCGTGAGACGCAGACAGACCTCCTGCCACCTCCTGCCTCCTCCTGGACCTCCTGCCACCTCCTGCCTCCTCCTGCCTCCTCCTGGACCTCCTGCCGCCTCCTGCTCGAGTCATTTATAAACGAGCTCGTCGTTTCTAACAAGCCTCAAACGTCTGATTGAGATTCACTGCACCTGCTCACCTTACACTCTTCTTCTTCTGTTGTCTTCCAACTTCTAGGCGCATTAGCGCCCCCTTCTGCTCCGGCGTGTGGATCAGAAAGCGCAATCCAAATACCTTCATAATAATAATAATAATAATAATAATAATAATTATATATATATATATAATAACAAAACACATAACATATAGCCTACTTTATTTACTTAATCTTACTTTCCACTCTACTCCTACTATAATTAAATGTATAATAATTATAATAATAATAATATAAAACCCCCTGCATCCCTTAAAAATGCTACTAGCCCCATCACCTGTTCTGTCCTCCACACTTCCTGTTATCATGAGGAGGAGGAGTGTCCCTCCGCATTTCTGTTTTTCAGCATGTGTGCTCACCACAGAAAACCCATTAAAAATCACACGGTCTATTTTACAATTGTTTTATTAGTTATAGTTTAGTTTAAAAGTCAAGTGATCACAATGATTACAGCTTCCATGAGGGAAAAGATCCCAACTGGAGGAATGCATCTAATAAAAGTGCCAAATCAAAAATATGTACTGGTCATTATTTGCTTAAGAGATGATAAAAAAATCTCTAGAAAAATAATTCAGTTTGAATCCCTGATGATCTCCAGAAAACAGCAGGGGGCATCACAGGCTGTCAGGAGGAATGTCAGTAATGGATCAGCATTGTTCTGAGTGCTTGTATGTGTCCGTGTGTGTGTCACGCCACACTCTGTCTGCTGCTGTCCCTGCTGTGCGTCGACCCTCCAGAACAACGCCGCGAGAAGTCAAGAAAGATGCCGTCCTGCTCGGACTCTGATTCCAATGACCCCTGGATGTGGTCTATCATGATCTCTGGACTGGAGGATGGACTGGGCCCGGAGCTCGTGTCGTGTGCGAGCGCTCTGGAGGACGAAGGGGAGTCCCACACCAGGGATCCGCTGCTGTGTGTGTCTTTAGACGGGGAGGACTCAGGAAGGATGCCTGGGGAGTGATGCTGTGGCTGAAGATGAGGACTTGTGGGACTGTCACTGACTCTGGACTGTGGGTCCTGGCTGGAGGTCATAGTATCTGTTCAAAAGAAAGTGTTATAGTTAAACAACGTAATGATCAACATGTAACATGATAGGAAGTCCCTGTGGTCTTTGTTGATCAGCTTTGGACCTCAGAGATGAGGAGACCCCAACTCACTGGAGGAACTACATTTTCCATCTGGCCACTGAACGCCTCAAGATCCCCCAGGAAAAGCTGGAAAGTGTGGCTGGGGAGAGGGTTGTCTGTAATATTTGGCGAGTTTCCTCTGATAAGCCAAAGATGATGGTTGGATAGAAACATAGAAACTAACTAAACACATTTTTTTAAGCACTTCAAGATATGTTTGAATAAAGATCAGTGTATATAATATTTTTGAACTTGAAGGTCAGAAAACCAACCCATGGTGTAAATATCCTATTTTAAAGGACGTCTGATCTGTTTATTGCTCCAGCAAGAACTACCCTTTTGCAATCTTGAAAGAAACAGATGATTTGTTAATTCTGTTGTTGTCCTACCTGAAATTGAAGCAAGTTCCGCTGAAGCCAGGGAGTGTTTGGCGAGGCTGGGTGTGCTGGCGTTGAATTCGGCCACAGAGCTGCTCTCCTCCACACAGGAAGTCATCTCAGAGACAGAGTGTCGTCTGATACCTGCACCACCTCCAATGGAGGAATCCACATCATATTCTACCACAGGGGTCAGCATGGGAACGTTGTAGCTCTTAGACCGCACCACTGGGTTTTTGGAAGCAGGGGAGTTGCCTGGTTTGGAGGGCCAGGAGCGCTGCAAACGCTTTTCTAAAGAGAGAGACAGAGAGAGGAAAAGTAGAAGAAAATTCCCTTTTTTTTTCACATTACACAACAGCTCAGAAAAACACTTCTCTGCACACACACAACCACACACACCTAATAGGCAAGAGGAGCAGTGTGGGTTGTAGGATCCATCTCTGGAATATAAGCCATGGGTGCCGAGGTAGGGAGAGACCACTTTCTGGATGAGAGACTCCAGACGCAGGTAGTCGTCTGTTACACCTTTAGACTCATGGACACCCTGTATCACACAAAGACACACACACAAGGTTAGAGGAGCTGGTGATTGATATGGGTTGGCTACAGAGAATGGAAACTTTACTTTACTTTTCTCTGATAAATGTACTTAATTTTCTTAAAGACAATAAAAACATAGTAGTTTATAAACACAGCCGGAAAACTACAGTTTGGTCCCAAAACTCAGACACATATATACACGCTAAGTAAAAAGCAATAGACAAAAACAAACCTATGTGAAAATTAACAATGGATGTAAACTTAATGATGAAACCCACCACAAAGATTTTAAACTTTGTACTGGTGTTGTCTTTGTTTTCACTGGATTAAACAGAGCTATGTTTCTCCACGAAAGATAATACAAGTTTATTTTCTCCCCTTGTAGCTCTGGTTTTGTCACCACCAGTATCTGGCTCTCTGCACTTTCTTGTTTCAGCTGCTCTAATGTTTAGTAGCTTGTGGCTGATTGTTGTTTGGTGATGGGCATTTAGAATGTAGTGGGTTTTTAGAGATGTACAGCTGCTTGTAGTGGAAACACACAGATGACTGAACTGAAACAGCTGTAAAACCACAATAACAACAACAAGTTTCATACCATGACTGAAATCATTATGAGCGATTCTTTTTACATTTCACATAGTCTCAAGAAGCATTGATTAGTGCAGCTTGATGTCATGGGTTCAGGTCTAATGTTAGTGACGAGTAAGAAAGCCCAATCAAAACAACCCTTCATGGCTTTTGTGAAGATAAGCTTATAACCCTGGACACATCCGGCAATGTGGAGTCCTGTTTATTCTTTATTGATGGCTCAGCAGTGTCGCCAGTAAACACAAACATTACAGTGTTTATCTCTGCAGCACGGCTCAGAGCCACATCTGATATTAGTGCGTTCAGCTGCAGTAAAAAAATAACCCTCATAATGAAGATGTTGCTGTTCAATGAATGAGCCACTGTGAATAACAAAGGATGGTGATGTATATATATTCTTTTAAATACCAAAGAAGAGATCAATCAATTCTCAATACTGTGAATCATTGAACCCACAGCACGGAAACAAACCACATGAAGAGAACAGACTTCAGTGAGCTGGCGTCACAGCATTTTAACAGAATGAAAGGGAAATTACTAACAGATGAAACAAGAAGTCGTGTACATTTTTTTTCTTTTTGGGGCCCTGCTTTCCTGTCTCCTTTCATATCTGTTCTCCTCCTGATTTAATGTACATTGCAGACAAAACAAAAACAGCGCAATTAAAATTGCTCATGTGTGCACAGCACATAAATCAAGAAAACTTTTTTTTCTATTTTTGTGTCTTTTCTTTTCACCACACCTCCCTCTGTTTGAGTCTAGGAGCAGATTTGGGTCAATGAGTCACTACAATGATGTCCAAACTAAATCCAACACACAAACACACACACACACACACTAACAGTTCCTGCACACAGACACACTTGAGAGCACATTTAATTAATTTAATCACTCCCTGACCAGATTTGACCTCTGAACAGTTAATATAAGTTTTTGGGAGCGTTCAGGTTAAATATTACTGTAACTGTGAACACCCAAATATCACTGATCTTGGTTAGTTTTAAAATTAAATTATGAACTATTCAACTTAAAAACCCTTGATGTCAGTTTTCTGTGCGCATTTTTTCATTTATCTGAATTATTTTTCAGGCTGGTCAAACAACACTTGAATAAATCACACAGTTGAACAAACTGAATGAACCTTTCAACAATGAAAAAATTATTTGTTTTCAGTCAAATTCAGTCACGAAGATGGTTTGAATTTTTGTGAATTTTGAGAAGCAAGCAGTGTCTCCATTTAAAAGTCCAGTACTTGTAGTGTAACAGCAACAGCATAGTTGAGTAAGTAAACAACTCTCTCTGTTTCCATAAAGTTAAGCACAATTAACGGTGTGCAGTCATACATCACTATTCAGTGGATGAGGAATAAAGCTCTACTCATGACTGGCTTGTTGAGATTTTCTGTTCTTCAGAGGATGTCAGGTCTTAAGGAATGTATAAACGAGGGTAATTCAAAAACACAAACACTATCACACACAGACGCAGCCTGGGTGCAGAGGGTACTGAGTGGTCATGGGAAGACGACTGCACTCAGTGTTCACACTGAGACGACTTCCTGTGAGATCCCACAGCAAGGGAAAAAAATCTATCTCTTTCCTCATCTCTTGTCATTTATTCTCAACCCACATCAGTCATGGGTGTTGGTGCTGCTGTGTGTGTGTGTGTGTGTGTGTGTTTGTGTGTGTAATTAAGTGAGTAAGAGACAGTAACACTTAAGCCCTTTTCAGACTTGAACAGTAAATTGAAGTTTGCCTTTCACAGTTAAAGAACACAACAGGAGATTGTCAGGGTCAGACATGTCCACAACAACAGGAAACTTTCCAGAATATTCAAGCGAGGGGAGGCGCCTGGGTAGAGCAGCAGGAGGCAGGACATGACTTTTTGCCAAAAAAGCTAGCATTCATATGTGTCCTCTTTTTCATCCGGAGATATTTGTATACTTCAAGTTTTAAGTCCATTGCATGTTAGAAACATCATCTACGTGCCAACTATCTCACTCATTTTTGTCATTTTCCAAACACTGTACACAGAAGCTGGCAGGAAAAGTTCCATAAAATATCCAGAGTAACTGACTCATTTGCGTTCTCACATACACCCCCCTCCGGAAGGTTTCAGGAAGATGTCCAGACTTCAGTGCATGTCTGAAAGCAGCTTAAGAAAGATCATGAGTGTGTGTGTGTGTGTGTGTGTGTGTGTGTGTGTGTG